CTGGGGCTCTGCAGCCTCCGGGGAGGGGGAGCTGCCTCCTCCCCAATCTCAACCCCCAATTCTCAGGTTCAGTCCTGTCCCTCGGGGCCACCCTTCTCCCCGACGACCTTGCGTGACTACCGCGGCCGGGGCCCTGGGGCACCGAGTGAGTCAGTGGAGGGGGGGTCCGAAGGCCTTTGGCTCGGGGTCCTCTTAGCGGCCTGACTTGGGATTTGGAAAAACCTCTACCCCCACCTCTGGGTCGTGGGTAATGACCGCCCGACTACCCACGTTGGAGGCAGAGGGTGGGGACCAGGAGCAATTCTGGGGCCTCCTTCACTGGCCCTGCGGCCACAGATCTCCCTCCAAGATGAAGCCAGCCAGCCCGCCTGGGTGTGTTTTTGTTGTTTTACCTTTCCCAAATATGCCACCCCACGGCTTCCCCCACCATGATGTCATTTTATTTTCTAAGGAGAAAAAGCAGCACTGAGCTCAGCATGCAAATATAGACAACTTGCAAAGCCACAGGCGGCTCAGCTCCTAGCCGCCCTCTGCCCAGGCCCCCAGGCGGCTCTCACTTCCCTTCCACCCCAGGGACTTTCCTCCCGGACCCTCAGCCAGACTGAAAGGAGGAAGGAAGAAGTGGGGAAGCATCTGTGTTCACCCCCATCTCCAGCCTGAAGACTGGGCTCAGCTCTGGCGGGGTCTGGCCCTGCGGAGAGGTCTGGCCCATTCCTGTCTGGGCGGCCTCTGGGAGGGCCCTGGCCTCCCCTCAGCTTCCACCTGGCAGAGACCCCGCCGGAAGCCACGGGGAGTCCTTTCTGAAGCCCAAACTCCCCCCGGAAGAGGCGCAGGCTCCTGCGGCATCGCGTCGGGCTTCCCAGCCCTTCTCTCGCTCTGCGCCCTGCCCCCCAGTGTGCCCTGTGCTGCCCCTTCGATGGTAACACCTTCTTAATTTGCCTTGGTCTGTATCTCATTTGTTCTGTGTGGTGGGGCCAAAACGATTTCGTTGACGCATGTTTGAGACTCAAAGAAGCTAAATGGTTTCTCTGCATTAGAGGAAGTTCCAGGTCTTCCAGACACAAGCAGGTACAGAGACCAGGGCTGCACGCTGCCTCTGCCCCTTCCTCAGGCAGGTTATGCCTCTGAGCCTCCCTGGCATCCCTGCTGGCAGGATGGGGACACTGGGGCCTATCCACAGAGCTCTCGTGATTTAGAAATTGTCTGTCTCTAGGGACTGGCACCGATGGGGGCTTAAAATGGGAGCTGTGCTAAGCAGTGGGCTCCATGATTTTAATGTGTTGGCCCCGTACCCCCACTATGTATTAAACAGCTATTAAGTGGGCACAAGTTGGATGAATGCGTGGTTTTTACTCTCTACTTCTGCCACCTTCCCCAGGAGCACTTTCTGGATTAGTCTGTGGAGGGGGAGACCTTTTCTAACCTCAGGTCTCATTCTTCCCTACTCAGAAAGTCAGTCTCCCAGCAACACCCTTATCCCTGATCCATGAGAACTGTCTGTTAGTTATGGGCTTGTTCAGTTGCTTGGGCTCCCCCGCCCCCCACCCCTGACTCCTTTACAGACAGGCACCCCAGCCTGGGCTGTGCTGGAGACAATGTGACTCCTTCCTGCCGGGAACTCCTGCCAGCCCGGGTCTGGGGGGTCCTCAGTGCACAAAACTCAGCGTCTCCTCTCCATTCCCATGGCCACCACTCGGGTGCACGTTCTCCCAGCGCCAGCCCGTTATGATAACAGTCTCTGACCCTCAGAGTTGGGCTCCCAGCCTCTGGTCTGTCCCTCATCTCCCCTCCCTGGTCCCCTTCCTCCCAGGTCACAGGATTAAATCCAAACACCTCGGCAGTCCAGGTCCATCACGCCCACTCCAGGTCGCAGCCACCACTTAGGCTTCTCTTGTTGTCTTTCTGGTCTCCTCTGTCTCCCCAAAAGGACACTCACATCCTTCTGGTGCTTCTGACCTTTCCACTGGCTGAAACATCCCCTCCCAACTCCTTTGCCCCTAATCCAATCCCACTCTTTATTCAAGGCCCAGAAAACGATTCCCTTCCTTTATGAAGCCATCGAAGCCCACTCTGATCTCTCTCTTCTGAGCCCATTCTATTTGTTTGTTCCTTCTTTCAACCAACATTTATTAGGGACTACTTTTTGTGGGGCGCGGCTACAGTGTTTGGACAGGTTCAAGCCTTGGACTGAGGAGAGGGCACAGTCCTCTCATTGCCACGTGCAAGTCCCAGCTTGGAGGGCAGAGCCCTCCCAGCACAATTATAGCCAACAGCTATCGTTGTAAGCTTGAACCTATGGTCCAAACACGTGGCCCCACATGCCTGAGTGATGTGGGCTTGGTTGAGTTCAGGTGCATGTAGTTGAGTAGGAGTGAAACCCACGAGAATGTTGTAAACATCTTGATCACACCCCTACTTTGCCTCGTGGCATCTGCTATTATAAAATAACACGGCTGGTGGGTGTCGGCGCTGTCCATCAGAGAGGCAGCGTCCCACTGAGACCCAGCTTTCATTCTCTTGTCTGTCTTTTCTTAATCCTTTCACCTCCCCAACTCAGGGTCACTGAACCAGGCTGAGCTGGCATGGCACATAAGGCGCCCTGGGGCTGAGTATGCCATGGCTGTGCCGTCTCACCACAATTTTTTGAGTGCCAGGCCCTGTGGACACAGAAAAGGCCTGGGCTCCTGCCTTCAAGGGGCACACAGTCTAGTGGGGGCAGACAGACATGTGAATGAAGAGCTAGGCTGGAACGTGCTAGAATAGAGGTGCAGGGAACTGGGAGGAGGGACCTGCGGGAGGGCCACCTCTGGAAGGGCCTCGCCAGGGAAGGGTTGTTCGCACTCAGTCTTGGCGTTCAAATAAGAGCGGCAGGGAGGGTGCTATCGAGCAAAACAGAATCACTTAATTGCAGGTTGCTTTGTGTTTTGCTCCAACTGTTTTCCGTGTGCTTGTCTTGCCTTCCCAGTGAGGTTAATCAGCTCGAGCGCGGGGACAGGCGGGCACGCTCTGTTCTCCCCGAGCCTCACAGCGGTGCCGGACAAACACCATGTGCTCAGAAAGGGCTTGTTGACTTGCAGCAGATAAACATCCACGCGTCTGATTTAACTGCCTGAAGGGAGCCCCTCCCCCCCACTCCGCATCACCACCTCTCAAAAGGCACCCACACCTAACGCACCCCGCGCCCTGTCTGGCTGGCTCCCTCCTGCCATCGGGGTGAGACCTCACCGGCAGACACTTGTTCAGCTGCCCCAGATCCTTTATTGAGGCCTCCTGTTTGACCCAAATTCATTAACAAAAGATTGCTGAGATTCAGCCCCAATCACAGGGCCCTCCCTTCCTCTTGGCCAAGGATATAGGATTTGAGAAAGTGGGGGAAGCACAGGTGGGGGGAACAGAGGAGAGAGGGGGGCCCAGAGATATGACAAGAGGAAAATCACAAGGAAGAGTTTAGGGAGTAATGGAAGGAACATAATAGATATAGGACATTGTGGGACAGGACACAGAAGTCAGATGAGATAGCTGGGCTGTTGTGTAGGGAAAGGTAGCTCCTCTCCTCATCAGGTGAGGGGGACCAGGGTCTCAGCACACAGCATATAGGCCCCAGGGGCCCGATAGCAGAAAATGACCTAGTATCCCTGGAGGACTTCAGGGAAGGCGGGAGGGAGCCTGAGGAGAGCAGGTGGGGCACGGAGATGGTTGCCATAGCAACTAGTCATCATCATCGTCATCATCATCATCATCATCATCATCATCGTCGTCATCATCATCCTCTGTGTTGATCTCGCCCTCCAGCACATCCTCTAGCCAGTCCTCCAGCTCCTCAGCGGAAGGCAGGTCCTCCTCATCGTCCATCTCCATCCATATGCTGTCCGCCTAGGACACAGCACAGACAGGACTGAGCTAAGCCCGACTCAGTGCTCTGGACCTGTCCTCCCACTCGATGGTCTCGGCACATCCTTCCCTGAGTCCTCTGTCCCCTCCCTTCATGTCAGGGGCCAGGGGAGAAGGTCTAGGTTAGAACAGTGACCGTAGGAGTAGAAAGAACGGCTGGATGGGCAAATAGGTTTTCTCCCTGCAGTCTTTCTGCCATGCTGAGCTCCTAAAACAGACCTCTCTATCCTGCCCTTGATGCAGAACCACTGGTGGCTCTCCATGGCCTAAAGAGTAAAGACAGAAACTTCAGCATTCAAGGCTTTTTACAACCTGCTTTCCCAGCACCATCCTCAGAGACCTCTAGACTCTCCAGCCACAAAAAATGACTTGCCTTTTCCTGATCCTAATATTCATTTTCCTACTTTTGACCTTTTGTACTAACTTTTCCATTCGTTTGGAAGTGATTTCTCATAATTTTCACTTGTAGAACTCCTCTATATTGTGCAGTCTCCACTTTGAATGCCACACTCCTTTTAAACCCTTCTCTGCCTGACCAGTGTGGCTTAGTGGTTGAGCATCAACCTATGAACCAGAAGGTCACAAGTTCAATTCCTGGTCAGGTCACATGCCCTGATTGTGGGCTCGGTCCTCAGTGGGGGGTGTGCAGGAGGCAGCCGATCAATGATTCTCATCATTAATGTTTCTACTTCCCTCTCCTTTCCTCTCTGAAATTAATAAAAATATAAAAAATAAACGCTTCTTTGATTTTCTCAAGCAAAAAATCACTTTGATTTTTTTTGCCTTCCTAGCATTTTATTTGTATCTTTATTATAGAGTTTATCAGACTTGTCCTGGTAGTGAATGGAATACCTGCCTCCCTAGTTAGACTGAGAAGTATATGAAAGCAAAGACTGGCTTATTAAGTTCAACTCAACAAACATTATCAAAGCACCTGTCATATTCGAATGAGATTTCTGCCCTCAAAAAGCTCAAAGTCTCCTGAAAGGGACACGTATGGTACATAATAGTCACATGAAAGTCATGATTTCAATGCCAATGGGCTCTGAGAGCGCTAAGGAAGAAATGATTCTGAGTGAGAGATCTGGGAAGACTTCATGGAGAAGAGGATGTTTGAGCTGGGCCTTAAAGGATGAGCAGCCGATTCTAACAGGTGGAGACGGTGTTCGGGGGGGTTAGGGCGAGGCTGGGCACGCCTGCTTCTTCTGGGAAGACTCGGCTCCTCCTCAGCAGAGCCGAGGGGAGTCAGCTATTCTGGGAAGCAGAGCTGAGGGTCAACCAGGGGTGAATGACGGAAACTTACATCAGTAACATTGACGACTCCTATTTGTGGGGCTGACAGGTCGATGTCAAACGTCTTCTCCCAGTACGGAACCAGCTGTGGAGAGACACATGGGCAGCTTAATGGGGTCGAGGGCACATGAGTCCAGGAGGGTGTGAGGGTCAGCGCAGGGATAAAGAACACTAGGAGCCCAGGCAGAGCAGGAGGGGCCCAGCTGCAGGGCCTGAGGGCATAGGTAGAGCTAAGCAGTTAAAGCAGCGGTTCTCAACCTGTGGGTCGCGACCCCTTTGGCGGTCGGACAACCCTTTCACAGGGGTTGCCTAAAACCATCCTGCATATCAGATATTTACATTATGATTCATAACAGTAGCAACATTACAGTTATGAAGAAGCAACGAAAATAATTTTATGGTTGGGTCACAACATGAGGAACTGTATTTAAAGGGCCAGAAGGTTGAGAACCACTGAGTTAAAGGGAAGAAATCCGAAGGGATTTCTATCAGGAGGACCAGCCAGGCATCTGGACTCCTCCCTGTTTTGATCCTGGGTCTGCTACTGAGTGACCCTGTGATTCTGGGCAAGTCACTTCTTCCCCGCCCTCCGTTCCCACATCCCTAAACTGAGGTAGTTCTGCCTGGTAACTGCCCATTTCCTCACAGTTCTGTTTGTTCATTCAGTTAGTTTTCAACAATGAATGCTGGGTGTTGGGGATCAGGCTGGGAACAAAGCTGTCCCCTGAAACAGGAACCTCTGTCCTTTGATTCTATGATTGTGCACATCCACGTGCAGGGTTCATGTGTCCATTTGCTCCCCAAATTCTCCTTTTCTCTAGAACGAGCCAACCTCTGCCCAGCTTCCGCTCTGGGAGTCATGTGGGTGATGTCCCATGTGGTTCACTTCCCATCCCGCTCCCCTCTCAGGCTCTCTCCATGCCCACGGTGCCCTTGAGCATGCAGCAGGCATCATCTCCCAGGGCCTCCAGCCAGGAGATGGGATGGGAACTCAGAAACAAGCTCCCTTCAGAACGTGCCATAGCCTACCCTAGACCCATGGTCAGCAAACTGCGGCTCGAAAGCCAAATGCAGCTCTTTGGCCCCTTGAGTGTGGCTCTTCCTAAGCCTTAGGAGTACCCTATTCCCTTCAGAACGTGCCATAGCCTAGACCCGTGGTCGGCAAACTGCGGCTCGCGAGCCAAATGCAGCTCTTTGGCCCCTTTAGTGTGGCTCTTCCTAAGCCTTAGGAGTACCCTAATTAAGTTAATAACAATGCACCTACCTATATAGTTTAAGTTTAAAAAATTTGGCTCTCAAAATAAATTTCAATCGTTGTACTGTTGATATTTGGCTCTGTTGACTAATGAGTTTGCCGACCACTGGCCTAGACCCTAACAGGACAGCGGGCCTGAGCGGTGCCTCTTACCAGGGGAAAGTCATCAGGGTCAATCCAGATGATGCTAAGATCAGGGTTTTCAGTGTTGTCTTGGGCCACAGCCTTGAGCGTCTCCAAGAACTCATAGCCGTCTTAGAGGGAACACAAGTGAGAAGCATGAGGTGGGTGGAGAGAAAAGGGACAAGCAGAAGACAGAACCCGGATCTCTCCTCACCTCCCACACCTCCACATGTCTAGCCCAGGCCACCTGCACTCTCCCAGGAATGCCTCCCAAAACACCCCGTCTCCCCCCAGTTCATCCAGTCTTCCTCCCTCACCGGGATCAGCTTCCTCCGCAAAGGCCACAATGTGGATTCCATCCATGTCGTCCTCCTGCGGTGAAGGAAGGAGGGGGGCCTTAGCCGTACTCCCCGAAGTCAGAGAGACCTGAACAGACCCTACCTCTTCCCTGAACCTGAATTTTACGGAAACTCAGCTTCTGGATTAGGTGACTTCTTAGGGTGGTGACCCTTTTCCAAGTGACACCTCCCTTCAGCTCTAGGCCCCATACCTCCTCTGGCAAACCCTTCAGCCCCAGAACTGTGGCTCTACCTTGTCATCTTTTTTTTTCTTAATATATTTTTATTGATTTCAGAGAGGAAGGGAGAAGGGAGAAAGAGATAGAAACATCAATGATAAAAGAGAATCATTTACTGGCTGCCTCCTGCACGCCCCCTACTGGGGAATGAGCCCGCATCCTTGGCATGTGCCCTTGACCAGAATTGAACACGGGACCCTTCAGTCCACAGGCCGACGCTCTATCCACTGAGTCAAACCAGCTAGGGTACCTTGTCATCTTCATCAACTTATAGGTGACATGTTCTTCAGAACAAAAACCCCCAACCTTTGCTGGCGCATTGTCTTTCCTACAAGTGAGGCATGAGGACGTTTCTAGGGCTTGACTCTGCACCCACCTATGTTCCCCCAGGGCCTGGCCCTGTCTGGGGGTACTCACCCAGGTCTCATACATACTCTCAGGCTTCAGTTTCCTCAGGGTCGATCTAGAACAGACAGAGGACACCCCCCAGAGAGTCCCCATAGCAGAGGCTGCCTGTGGGCCTTGCCTAGGGCACGGGCAGCTTGTAGCCCAGAACAAAGACACCTGGCCAAGTCTAAGCTCTGGGCACCAGGCTCAGATCATTGCATGGTTTAAACAGGTGGGAGAATGGAGGGTGGGCAAGGGGACTGCAAGAGCGCCTTTTGGTAGGAAGGTAAGAACTGAGCATCTGAGTATTCATTTTTTTCATTCATTCATTCATTCACTCATTCATTCAATAAATTTGGGTGTCTGAGATGTTCTGAGCCCTGTGCTAGGTGCTGTGTAGACAGAGTTAAAGCAAACGCACTTCTACCCTGATAAAGGGGACCATAATCTAGAGCAGGGGTCCTCAAACTTTTTAAACAGGGGGCCAGTTCACTGTCCCTCAGACCGTTGGAGGGCCGGACTATAGTTTTAAAAAAAAAACTGTGAACAAATTCCTGTGCACACTGCACATATCTTATTTTGAAGTAAAAAAACAAAACGGGAACAAATACAATATTTGTTTTTGCATGTGGCCCGCGGGCCGTAGTTTGAGGACCCCTGATCTAGAGGGAAAGAGTGAGCGCGGTTTACACCGATGAAAGGGTATGTCCAGCTGTGAAGTTCTATGAAAGAAGAGAGCGATGTCTGAGTGTAGGGCAGGGTTTCTCACTATTGACATCTGGGGCCAGGTAACTCTTTGTTGTGGGGTCTGTTCTGTGCACTGCAGGATGGTTAGCAACATCCCTGGCCTCTACCCACTAAATACCAACAGCATTGCCCCCAACCAACCACTCTCTCCAGACACTGCCAAATCTCCCCTGGAGAGCAAAAGCCTCCCCCTACCTCGCCAGTCCCTCCACCCTGTTGAGTACGACTGGTACAGGGTAATGTATGAGAAAGAGCACAGGCCAGGTCTGGGTTGGAATTCAGTTCTGACACTTGTTGCCTGTGGAACCTCTTTACTTGAGGGTGTTAAAAGGATTAAATAGAAGAATACAGATAGAAAGCACCTCTCAGTTCCTGGCAGACCCCAGGCACTCAACACTCATCACAACCCACAGTACACATTTATGGAGAACCTTCTACGCGTGAGGGCTCAGGGCTGGTTAGGGTGCAAAAGATTGTGGAAAAGAGTCAGCGTATCTTGAGCACTGGCATCGAGAAGTGGGTTACCGCAAGGTGAGAGAAGCCTCCTGGTTCTCTGAGACCCCCCCCCCCCGCCCCCGCCCATGTCACAGGCAGGTGCTCTCGCCTGCTCAGGGCTCTGCCCCTGCCCTACCTCTTGTGCTCCTCCACAAAGCTAACAATCTCCTCTTTGCTGTTGGGCTTGTCTGGGATTGTCACAGGCTCGTCCATAAAGGCTTCATAGAAGTCAACCTCATTCATCTTCAGGGTCAGCTTCTTTGCCACCTTTGGGGGTGGGGGTGGAGCAGGGGATGCAGGGTTATGGTGAGAAGCAGTGTGATGGGGGAGCAGGGAAGAGGAAGGGAGTCAGACTGCCATTGTGACATTGGACAAGTGTCTTCACTTCTCTGGGCTTTGATTGGACATGAGAGGACTGGGTTAGATCATCTAAAATCTTTGGGGTGGGGGAGCCCCGAGGTAGAGGTGGGAGTGTGGTGTGCAGGGAGGGAATAGGCCCCCATAGATTCTGGGAGAGGGATTGGAGGGCTGCTGAGGAGGACGAGGGAGACCCAATATGTTCTGGGGTGGAGTACCTTGCTGTCGAAGGTGGCGAAGAAGGGGATGTACGGATGGAACTCCTCTGCGGCGTCCTCAAAAGCCTTGTAATCTGGAGGGGACGCAGAGTCAGTCTCTGGGAGAGCAGGCTGTGCAAGGTGCCCTCTCCCGTCTGTCTCCCCTAGTTCTGAGACCCCCCTCTCTAACTCTCTGAGAGTGACTAAAGCATGTGATGGGGGAGGTGGAAGGCTGGAGGTGCCCCTCTGGGAACCACCAGAGTGCCGGAGATCAGGGCAGGTGATGGAGCTGACTGTGGCGAGGAGTTAGGAGATAGAGGGGCCGTGAAGTGGGTTAAGTGTGGGGGAGCGGGAAGTCCAGGGAGGAGAACCGTGGAGTCGGAGGGTTACCCACGCTCTGAGTCCTTGCTCTTGAAGTAGCCGATGAGTTTGTTGTCATCTTCGATGTTCTCAAATGCCTGCAGCTCTCGTTCACCCTTAATGAATTCCACAGGGTCCTCTAGGACCTGGAAGAGCAGGGACATTGAAGGAAGAGAGTGAGTTTCCGTCCTCACTGGTGGGAGAGGAATGAGGATGAGGAGAGAGGGCTGGGAACAGGAGGAAGGTGCTCATTGGTCTGTGTGTGTGTGTGTGTGTGTGTGTGCCGTTTCCGTCCTCACTGGTGGGAGAGGAATGAGATGAGGAGAAGAGGGCTGGGAACAGGAGGAAGGTGCTCACTGGGGTGTATGTGTGTGTGTGTGTGTGTGTGCGCGTGCATGCATGTATACGGTTGGGTTTGGTTAAGGATAGGCACAAAGTCTTAAAGCAAGGACATTAGGTCCAGGGTCATGAATCCTCACATCAAGCAGAAACTCCACCAGGGTGTCAGCAGAGAGTTCGCCGTCATATTCAATGACTTCATCTCCCTTGAACACATAGATACTGTCCTCTTCGGTTAGTCCTAGGGAGTGGGCCAGAGAAGAGCGTGACCCCAACCTTCCCACAGACCCCAGAGTCCAAAGTCAGGGCCAGAGCCCGTTCTCTAATCCCACTGGACCCCACCACCTCCCCTCCCCTTCCCCAGCCTCGCTCACCTCCTCTGCCCCTTAGCCCTACACCCCTGGGGTCTACGCCCTGGTTCAAGGGGCTCTCCAGGGAGAAGCTGAAATCAGGTGGGGGTGTTAGGGGAGGAGGTAGAAAGATTTCTCTTTCTCTGTTTGTCATACTAAAGAGAGATCTTCATGTGACCTCCCCTGAGGACTCCAGTGGCCAGCTGCCAGTTCAGTCCTTTAACCTCTGCTGTTACTGACTCGAAGACTTAATCACTGACTCCCCCACCCCCATCCATGTCTGACGGCCAGTCTCAGGCCTGTGTTGCCCCCTGGTGGCCGGTGTTGTAACACCTATCCAGGGCTCCGGAGCGGGAGGGGTGGGAAGAGGCGTTTACTGAGGCCTCTCCAGCCCCACCTGAGTTCCCTGACTCCCCTTCCTCCAGCACCTGGTCCTGTGTTTTAGTTATCTGAAAAACATGAAGAAGGCCGTGTCCACCTCTTTCTGAGACTTGAGCAGGGGTCTCTGTAAGGAATAAAAGAGGCCAGGACCCTTGGCCATAACCCTTCTAATGTCAGTATTTTCTCCATTCAGAATAGCAGGGTGGAGTTCCTAGCCCGGACCAGGGCTGCCTGTCCAGTCTCCAGGCCACCTTCCCCTCCTTGCGCTCCCACCCCGCCCTTACCTAGTTTCTTGGCTACAGCTGTGTCCTTCTCAGAGTCCACCATCCCGAAGCCAACACCCTTGTCTTCTAGGACTTGGGCTGCTAACTGCAGGGAGGGTGAGGTTAAAGTCAGCCCCTGGAGTTCATAGTAACCCCTATTCCCCACCGCATGCTTCCAAGTGGGCCATTTGGGGTGCATGCAGTTGAAGAGTTGACCTTGACGCTGTGTAAGGATCCAGAAAACCCCCACCTTTCCTACAACCCCACCCTTATGTTCCTTCGCTCAGTAAATGCCTAAACATCTACTGCTCGCTTGCAATGAGCTTATTTTTTAAAAAAATATATTTTTATTGATTTCAGAGAGGAAGGGAGAGGGAGAGAGAGAAACATCAATGATGAGAAAGAATTATTGATTGGCTGCCTCTTGCACGTCCCCTATTGAGGATTGAGCCACAAACCTGGGCATGTGCCCTTGACTGGAATCGAACCTGGGGCCCTTCAGTTCACAGGCCGATGCTGTATCCACTGAGCCAAACCAGCTAGGGCTGCCATGAGCTTATTACGTTGAACTTCAAAGCGCTAAGCGTGATGCGCCTGCTTCCTCAGGAATGCGGAGGAATCTGGCTTTAAGAGACTGAGGCCCTTCCCTCGCTCAGGGCTGAGCTCACACATCCATCCTCACCAAAGGCCATGCCCAAGGGGGGCAACATCCCTGGGATTCTCACAGGTGACCCTCGATGGGGAGAATTTTGGAGAGCAGGAGGGTAGTGGGCTGGGGTGGGCTGGTCACATTGCTGATGAGCGGGGAACGCCTGAAAGTAGAGGTCACTGGGACCAGCACTTGTCACCTCAGAGGGAGAGAGCCAGAGCCAGAGGAGACACGGCTGGGCGCCCCTCATCCAGGTGAACGTTCCCCTTCACTCTCACTCCCCAGGTCGCCGCCCCTCGGCCTGCCGGCTAGACTCTCAGCCTGGTGCGCTCTGCCTTGGGTGTGGCTTTCGGCTCAACCCCACCTCACACAGCCTCCTGGAGTCCCAGGGGGACAGGAAGGGCGGCAGCTGGCAGGTGCAGGGCCACGGATGCTGAGCCCTCAGGATAAAAATACTCAGCTCATTACTCAGATGGCAGGTTCCAGCCTGGCAGGGGCACACAGACATGAGAGCCCGCGGTCCTGGTATCTCGCCCTGAAATACTCCAAGCCCTGGGTAAGCGGGGCCTGTCTGTCCAGCCAGGAGAGAGAAGGGGCTGCTGAGGCCGGGACGAGGAGCGCTCACATGCCGGCCCCGGAGGGATGTGGACTGCATCGCCAGTCATCTCCAGGCGCAGGTGTTTTTCCTGTAGAAGAGCCCTTCTCTCCTCTGAGCCCGAGGTCAGCTTGGGGGTGAGGAGAGTCTTCCCACAGAGAGAAGCTGGGGAAGGCACTCTGAAGCCTCCTTCCAGTCACAAGAATTTTCCCACCAGAATAGCCTGCTTGATCCAATAGGGGCAGGTGGGGAGCAAGGGAGCGGAGGCAGAGCAGGCAGAGCAGGGGACTGAGGCATGTGGAGGCCTGCTGGGCTCTGGTACACCGTTAGCCATGAAGTAAATGACTTCCAAGATGTTAGTAACAGTGACATTTATACTCAGTTTAGCCCTCTTTGGGGTGCTGCTCCTAAAGTGTACACAGAGGGGCATGTCCCCCCTTCCCCTGGAGAACCTCCCTTTTTCTTTTTTGCCCCCCTTCTGAGGACACCCCCGTCCTAGCCAAACCTGGTACTACCAGCCTCCTATAGCGTGGAGGAGATGTTCCTCGCAGTCTACCTCCCCTCCCCCACCCCACCCCCAGACCGCTGACTCCAGTGGTACTTTTGGTCCCCAAGTCTCTTTCTCCTTCGGCTGAGGCCACATGCCCCTTGGGTCCTATTGGTCAAGACAGGGGTCCTGCCCCATTGTCACCCTCAAAGGCCTGCATGGGGTGGTAGGATGGGGGTCGGGGGGCTGCACACAGGGGCTGGGCCTGCAGCCCCCCGCACTCACCTCCAGGATCAGCTCCTCCATCTCGAATTGCCTCTGTGAGGCCTTGTCGTCCTCCGGGGGCTCGTGGTAGAGCAGCGCGAGCACCTCGTACTTCTTGAACACGTTCTTGTAGTTCTTTGCGTTGACATTGACCACACGGTCCACGCCATCGTACTCGGGGAAGTCCAGCCCGTCCTGCCCCCGCACCCCGGACTCGGGTGTCCCTAGCACCAGCAGCAGCAGCAGTGCCAGCTGCAGGCCCGGCACAGCTCTGGCCCCCATCCTGACAGCGGCGCGCATGGAGGTAGTGAGATCTCGGGTCGACTCTGCTGGTCCAGAAGAGGTTCGCTGGGGAGGGAGGGGCCCTGGGTCCTGACTCCTGAGCTGGGGGCTCACAGTGAGGGTGGGGTGGGGAAGGGCCTAGGGCAGCGGACAGAGGACACTGCTGGGTCCTGGAGACACTGTCAACAGAGCCAAGAGAAAAAGGGTCAGGAGGAGGACTAAGAGCAGGGGGCGGGGAGGGAACCCGAGCTGCCCCTGAGATTGGCACCCCTCAGCCCCACCTGGTCCTTCTAAATATGTTTTCAGAATTGGCAGGGGAGACGGGTAACCTTCTGAGGCCAGGACAGCTCCATGAGGCTGGCATCTCCACCTCCCGAGTCTCTCCCCCGGCTCCCAGAGCCTCCCTCCTCTCCCCTCCCCACAATGTCCAGGGCTCCTCGGCCCCTGCCCCACACCAGCATAGCTTATCACCATATTAAGAAAGGAAAGGGCTGGAGCTAAAAATAAGAGCAGATGAGCCGAGAGGTAAATGAAACGGGGGCTGGTGAAGGCGGAGTTGGGGTAAGTAGGGGAAGTGAGGGCCAGGGGACTCAGAGAAGAGGAAGTGGGGGTAGAGAGGGAGATGTTCTGCATCAGAGGTTAAATCCACGAAGCAGGAGAGAAGGGACACACGCAGTATTAACTCGAAGTCCTAGAACCTGGAACCCCTTCCAGGTGAAGTCTGTTTCTTTGATCCTGTAGCGAAGAGGGCAGCGCAAAGGCGACCCAGGCTGCAGGCGTGAGACCCCCTGCCCTTCCCTTTAAAGAACCGGGACCAAGGATGAGGTCATTCTCTGCATAAAAGATGGAGCCTCGTCCAGGACTGGAGGCCGGGCTCAGTTCCAGCCGGTTTCCTCTGCTTCACTCAGCACTCCTAACTTGGAAAGCAGGGGCAGGACGGGCGGGGGGCGGGCAGCGCTGCGAGATGGGCCTGGGGCGCCTCTGCCCCTGCGGAATGGAGAAAGCCCCAGGCCGCTGCCCCCTGCTCCTGCCCTGGACTCTGATCCTCGGTTTTCTGCGCACAGGGGAGAGGGAGGGTCCCCGGGCCGCTGGTGCCGAGGAGAGCGGCGAATAGCAGTCATTCATTCCTATGTCTTTCACAAGGAGGATCAGGTATAAACACTAGGGGGCGGGGGGATTAGCACTGGGAAACCCTGAGCCAAGGATGTAGGTTAATTCTGTGCACCCGAGAGCCAAGCCGAGTTGGGAAAGGCTCTCTCTAACTTTCTGGAGCCCGTCTTGGGGGCGAGGGCCAAGTGGATGAGTTCAGCTCTGGGTACCTGGGGCGGAGGGACCTTCTCCAGGCGCTTACCATTCGCTGGTAAACGGAGGCACCCCCATGGCGGGGCTGGGTCAAAGCCAGGAACCCCCATGCCCACCCGAGATAGCTCCGATTGTGGAGTGACGGTGTTCATTTTGCACCCAGGCGGCGGCGTGGAATTCTGTAGGAGGAGTGAACTTTCCCACGCTCTCGTGGGCAGGCCTTGCAGGGCGGAGGCCACAGAAAGCCTCGGGCGCGTGGCAGAGTGAGTCCCGGAGCACAGCTGCCCCTGGCGCAGGAGGGGCCGGAGCCAGCCTAGGCGGGGCACGCTGAGCCCACCTCCTGGCTCACGGGAGTGTGACTCAGTGCGCACAGCCCCGCAGCCAGAGCAGCCAGTGGGACGGCTGGGCAGACCCACGGGGCAGCAGTAGGTGGTAGATTCTAAATGACATCCAGCCCCGTCTCTCACGTCGGCTGCCCGCTGGGGGAGGGGAGCATGTGGACAGAGACCCTGGGATATCAGACTTGTCCACGATGAGTCTGACCTTCCGTGTGCCCGCGAGGGCGTGAGATGGGACTCAGTGGTGGCCCAGGCTCGCTCCGTTTCCTCCTCTTCTCCTGCAGCTGCCAGACTTCTCCTCCCATCCCGCTCCCTCTCCTGCTCTTGGCTCCTCAGTTCCACCCCATGCTTTCCAGTAGCTGCACCCTCCCCCACCCTTTGCGCTCCGCTGCTCGGCTCTCTGCTTTCTGCTCCGCGCCTTCCCTCTGAGCCCCTGCTTTCAGGCCCTTGGGCTCAGCCGGCTCAGCCACTGGTGTCAAATGACCCTGAGTTGGGGCCTCTGTATTTTTAACCCACCAGACACCCGAAGCTCTTGCTCCTGAAACCCGAGGAGCTGGCCCCTCCATACCTCATTCACACACCCCCTGGCCCCTCCATCTCCCAGGGTCTGGTTCAGCCGTGTCAGCAGCCGGGTGGAGGGAGGGGGGGAGGGAAGGACCCCAGACTGACATAGCTGTGTCCCTAGGAGACCTTGCATTGGAAGAGGGAGGGGGCATGGGTGGGGAGACGTCTGAGGCGGGTGTGGGGACAGTGGCTGACTGCACCTTACAAGGCCCTTCTCCTTGGCCTCCCACCCGGACTTGCCCATGACCCTTCTCCCATCACGGTCCTATTCTCTCGCTTGTTTATTGTTGTGTGTACTTTTGGCCCAGCCCTCGTTGTAAGACTAGGTCTGAAAAGTGGAGAAGGGCACGAGTTCTGGAATCAGAACGACCTTGGTTTCCTCATCTCTAACATGGGGCGGGTGGTAAGAATATGTTCGCTGTGTGAGTTCATGGGCGGTATAAGGCCCTTGTCCCACGGCAGGCATAGCACGCAGCCACCAAACACATCCCCCCGCCCCCCCACCGGGCTTTCCTTCCCCTTTCTCTCCTGCTTTGTACACCTTGGGGCACAGCCAATGGTCTCCTCTAACAGAAGCCTGAAAATGAACTGACCCACAGGGCAAAGTAGGCCGCCTCACAGAGCAAAGCCTGAATGGGTGGAGAGGGAGGAAGAGCCAGGCAGGAGGGAGAGGCTCCCTGCGGACTCCTCAGCCCCAGACACTCAGCGACGTGTGTGGGCCCCGGCTGGCAACCAGGGTGTGGGGAACGACCATCACCCCTTGTGGAGTCTGGGGCACGAGGCGGCGGGTGGGGGGGGGCTTTGCGTAATGTAAAGGCTGCAGGGATACAGAAAGTGCTGTTTCAGCCTCTATTTCAAGGCAACAGCAGAGAGAAAGGGCTGAGGAGGGGATGGGGCGGAGATGACCTGCCCAGCACAGGGGGTGGAGGGCAGGGATCACCTGTGCCTTCCTCGGCCCCACGTTCACCACTCACCATACAACCCTTCCCAAGTCATTTAACCTCTCTGACCTCAGGTTCTCCACTGATGAAACAAGGTCCCTTCTAGCACGAAAACTCTTGATTCTATAAGCTGATCCGAGGACCAAAAGTGGGGGCTGGGTGAGTCCACCTAACAGAACTGGCTGTGGTGCTGGGGTCCCCTGTCGCGTGTGGTCTGCTGCTCTCTTCTCCTCTCTCCCATTTCTCTGATTCCAGCTGGCCTGTCCTGTCCTTGCTCCCCATCGGGTAGGGGAGTGACTTTAAGATTGGGATAGCCCTCCAAGGGCAACGGTGCTTGATTCCGATCCCCTCCCAGCCTCCACTGTGGTCCCTGACTTTCCCTGGCTGCCTGGCTGCCATGGAGACCTAGAATGAGAGCATCACAGTCATCACCACTCTCCCCAGATCTGATGCGACACGACCAACCACGTGAGAGATGTTGTCAACGTTTACTGTCTAGACTGGCTACTGATTCAACAGGACAAGGTCCCTCCCTGCTGGGTCCAGTCAGACGCAGACTGGGCGTCATTACCCTCAACCCACTCCCTCTCCTTCCCGTGGTGTGACCAGCCCGGCCCCAGGATTGTCTCTCTCTCTCATCCAAGGTGATTCGTCCCAGCATTTCTCTGTCCCAACTCAGATGTCCTGCCGAACTCATCCTCCCTAACCCCCCCACCAGCCCATGTCACGTGACGTTCTTCCTCTTCTGAGTTTAGTAGTAGGTCTCCCTTTCCACCCAGCCTGCGGGAGAGAAGAGACCGGATTGACCCAGGAAAGGCAATGGGAGGCAGCAAGGCGAGGTGAGCAGAAGGGTAAGCGAGGACCAGGTGGGAGGCCTGAGGGAGGACCGCAGGGCGCCGAGGGTTGGAAGGAGCAGGATGGTGGAATCAAGGACTGAAGGACCGGGGTCCATGCACAGCCCGGGCAGTGAGGAGGGGAGAAGGGCAATGGTTCTGACGGAACCAGGGGGGGGATGGGAGAGCTAGTTCGGAGGCTGGTGACCACTCCGTCAGAGGGGGGTGCAGGGAGCCTACCTCCAGGATGAGTACGAATGGTGAGTTTCCTCATTTCGTCATAGACGAAGATCAGAAGGCTGTAGGGAGTGGCACAGAACCACCAGAGTATCCTGTAGGGACAAGAGTTGGTCAGTGTGGCTGGAGACAGAGGGGCCAGAGAAGGGCAGCTGCAGAGAACAGCGCACAGGCGTTGGGTGGAGGGCTGGTCCCCACCTGAGGAGGTCAGAGTCTGGGGATAAGAGAGGAGAGATAAATGCCACATCAGGGGTCTAGCCAGTGGTCGGCAAACTGCGGCTCGGCAAACCGCAGCTCGCGAGCCACATGCGGCTCTTTGGCCCCTTGAGTGTGGCTCTTCCACAAAATACCGACTTCTA